TATATATATAAACCTGGATCTTTAATTTTTCTTACGTGTTAATGTATATATGTATGTTTATAATTCTGTATATGTATTTTAGATATGTTTACGGACATATATAAATATATGTTTTTTAGCTATGTATACTTGCATATATATGACTTTATATATATATATATATATATATATATATATATATATATATGCTGTGGTGTCCTCCCCCTAAAGAGTTTATGTTGGACTCTTCCGCCTACTATAAGATTAGTAGGAGAGAACTGTCGACTTCTCTGCCTCGGCAGGGAGCGATCAGGACGAGGCTTTGCCGCAGGGGAAAGTTTCGTCCGTGGAGGTAGACAGGCCCTTAACCCATTTAGGTGTGTTCAGAGGGAATATTTTTGGCCGAGCCTACGTGCTCGGAGAAAACCACGTTAAACTCGGCCTTGTGCCACATAGATCCCTCGTGTGTGTGTGTGGGGGTGTTAAATATAACAGTCGAATTGAGGAACATGATCCAAACTGTTCAACAGTCGAACTCTCTGTCTTTGGTAGAGAGGAACCCGGACGAGGCTTTCCCGAAGGGCAAAGTTTCGTCCTGGGAGGTAGACAGGCCCTGACCCGTTTATGCGGGTTCTACGTGAATATTTTTGGCCGGGCCTACGGGCTCGGAGTACCCACGGTAAACTCGGCCTAGTGCTACATACATCCATCGTGGTGGGTTGGGTCTGTTAAATATTAACAGTCGACTTGATTGAACGCTGGGTCAGCCGACACACACTCACTAGTCGTGTAATACTCCACTGTTGTACTTACTGTTTAATATATGATATATGTGCAATACTGGTTTTGTTATTTCTTTAACCATGTACTTTGTCACAACAATAATAAAATAATATATGCTAGCTACTGATTCTAACATTTTATAAGCTTAAAATTATATAATTGAACGAACATCAAATATAACCGAATTTCTTTAATAAACGCCTGAATATTAGATTAAAGTGATGATTATAAAATTTTATATAATAATATTCAATGCTTATCGGTGTTTGACATATTTTTTTCAATCACACATCGGAAATTTCGACAAGAATCAGTGCATTGATCACAGAAAATCTATACGTTACATTTGGATTTACCGTCCATGGGGATCTTTCATTTCTACACATGGTAAAAGTTTCCAATGAATGGTAAATCAGCTGATTCTCAATCCCGATCACGGCAATACTATCTAACACTGACAATTGGGACGATTTCGATCACGGAAACCATATGTAATAATATAAGTGACTTACGAACTCGTGTTTCGGTCACTGCTTTGCCAGTGTCTTGCGCGGGAGACTGTTCTAACGACGTTGCGAAGAGAACCAAATTTCTATGTGGAAACGTTTTCAGCTTGAACCAGCTAGATGTGACAAAAAACTGTAACTTTGGCAACAAATTCGAAATGTCTTCTTTTTCCGAATTCTAATGCTCGACGGTTGTCGGCCATCAGTGGCATGGAGATTTTACTGACTAACCCTGTTTCTTTTCTTTGACACACACACACAAACACACGCACATATACTATATATATTTTATTTTATATGCGCAGTATTTAGTGGAAGGTGCTCAATATCAGTGATGGAACATACATATTCAGTTGTATGGATATGAGTTTGTGAGAGTGTCATCCCAAATAAACACAGAAGAAAATTCCCCCTTTCAACACCAAATATAATCAAACACAAACAAGCATAAATTGATCCAATTTAAAAAATAAACCAGTTTGTCTGAGGATTGCAAAAGCGTGAAATCCAGGATCACAAGCTCGTATCCATACAACTATATATATATATATATATATATATATATATATATACGAATTCGGCATTTTGTCACCAATAATATATTAATACTATATGACCATTAATTTGCACACCTAAGAATTTTCGTCGTTCCTGAAATCACATGGACAGCTAGACACTTGATCGGATTTTGATAAACGACTTCTCGAAAACTATATATAAGTCCACTGGCGATCATGTTTTTATGTAATATAATCACACGGCCAGTAGGTTTTGGCCGAGTTACTTTTAGAAATTCGAAATTTTTATCAGAAACCAGAAAAGTCCAACGTATAAGTTATTAACAACTTAGTGTCACTTTTCATAGATACATTTTTTCCGGTTGCCCACGTAACTTGGCATCATTTTCTCCTGACATGTGTAGTATAGAAGGTGGGTAGAACGATGTGCCTAGTCATGAAAATTCTTTAAGTTAATATTTAGGTTCGATTCATTGAGAACTCCTCAATCAACATTTGTTTTTCAAAATACCCCATGTTATTTTTCCAGAATAAAACACAATAATAAACGAAATCAAGTCATCTCTACCACAGTTCTGTTCTATAAAAGAGAACCATTCTATATTTAGATTTTTTAAGACAATATTTATGCCTCTTTGTTACTCTACACGCTCCATAAGAGTTTGTTATTAGTAAGCCCATTAGTGATTAGATAGTGTGCACAAAATACCCAGTAAGTATTTTGAGTCACGCGGGAAAACCAACTGTAAAAATAAAGTAAATGACAGGAAATCTTTTCAGTCAGTGAACGATAATTTTTATTTATATTATTTTCTCTTTAAGGATTTTTTTCGTCTCATCCTGTGAACGACTTTTACTGGTTGTAGGCCTTCTACAGATTCGGTCCATGTGGAGGAATGGGTACACTACTGGGCTGGCCCAGTGAGTGAGGGTTGAAGCGGATGTGACACGATTGGTCGGTCGTGTCTCTTTCCGATTCGTTAAAATTATTTGCTTGTCAGTGAATGTAACGAATCCAAGTGGAATTCGAACTCGGCTCTCCGATTTTTCATTCCAAGCTGTTATTCATTACACCACATATATATTCATACTTAGAGCAACTAGTATTTCCAAACGGTCACCTAATATAGGGACTGATGAGACACGACATCATCGGTGATCGAATGAGAACCTATGTTTCAAAATGATACAGCCGTAAGTCTCTTTAGAATCACTTAAACTAATTTTCTTAAAATTATTTAAAAAAAATAAATGCCACGAAGAATTTTCAGTTTTCTTGTTTTCTATATAATTTTGTGTAAAACGTGCTTTGCAATGTTCTGTGTAGATATATGTTCGTTTTCGGATTCCTTCGTGACATTTCAGTGCTTAAAGTTGTCTTATATAGGCTACAATACAATACACCATTAGCTACATTAGAAAGCCAACCGCAAATTCAAGACGAAACTATTATTAAGAAATCTTCGTCAATAACATTAAACGAAACGTATCTTCAAGGGAGATTACTCGCCAGATATCCAATATATACAAACGAGTTTTTGTATGCTTCTATTTATATGGATCTATATTCATATACATCGTTTATATATTTATTTTTCATCGGCGTCCAGCCTTACACAAAGTACACACACATGAGTGCACACTTATATGAAATTACCCATGCATACTCACTCATACACCGAATCATTGATATACATTTCCGTATTTCTATATTGTATAATAATAATAATAATATCTATCGATATATATAATTATTTATTCTTTTTCCTTCATTGATTGCTCAGTAGTGGTGACGTTATAGGAGGTTTGCTGCTCTTTTGTGGATTTTCTTGAAATGGACGTCCATCTTTTGTGTTGTGAATAACTTCAAGCTGTACTATTGTCACATGGGGATAATAAATTCTGACATTATTTCTTGAGGATTCAGAGGAAAGTAAGGAAGAGAAAGATTTTGAAAAGTTTCTGAGGTAAGAAAGAAGTACAGAAAGGTGGCATTGAAGAATGAACAGACGATAAGGATGTTGACACGGTCGAATGAAATTTATGTTACCTTAAAATAGAGAGAAAACGATGAGGAAGTAAGGCAATGAAAACGAGAGGAAATACAAGAAAACGGGAACATGCGAAGGAAAAAAAACTGTTTAAGATGGACTCCGTCATTGTTAGCACAAATGAGATGAACAGAGAATAGTGAGGGGAGAAATGTGTCTATAATCACATCTAATAGTCGTTGGGAAATAGGTTTAACTGAGGCGAAGGAAAGAAAATAAACGGAGAAGCATAAAAGTAAAATGAAAAACTGAACACTGCGAATCTGACTGAAAAAAGTGACAAGGTAAAATGTATAAAAATCGTCGAGTAGAAATGACTGAAAAAAATGACATCGAGAAGATGGCAATTAGAAAAGAAAAGTAAACAGAACAAGAAAAATAATAGAGAGAGAGAGAGGGGGGAAAGAGAGAGAGGGGGGAATAGTTCAGAATATGATTTGGAAAGGGTCAAGTAAGAAAGGGGGAGGGAAATCACGAAGAGATCAAAGACGGAAAAGGGAAAAAATTAATCACGAAAAACGAAGAATTTAAAGACGTAGTTCGAAAGTACAGATTGTTAAGAAGTAAGAAAATATCCTTACTGAGCGAAAAGATATTTTTACGAAAGCGAAACAAAAAGAGAACAGCCCAGGGCAAAAATTAGTGGCAAAAGGAAAATCAAAATTAAAAGAATGGCAAAGGAAGACGAAAAGAAAAAAGAAAAAAAAGCAGGAATTTCGTGCGATTTCATTAAAAGACATATATATATATATATATATATATATATATATATATATATATAGAGAGAGAGAGAGAGAGAGACTGTGCGCACCTTTCTAAGAGAAGATATTTGAGAGATAAGGAATGAATGAGAGGGGGTATAGTTAAGCAGTGAGAGAAAAATGAAAATGGAATGAGAATAAGAACAAAATATATGTTAAATAATTTCTTAAATACGAATATATATATATATATATATAGATAGATAGAGAGAAATATATACATGTATGTGTATATTGTGAGAAATAATATATATATGTGTGTGTGTGTGTGTGTGTGTGTGTGTGTGTATATATATATATATGTACGTATGTGTGTCTACATAGCTACATACAAAGAAACAGAGACGGAGAGAGAAATGCGAGAAAGTGGCATAAAATATATGCAGGAAAGATAGGGTGAACATGAGAAAAGGGCGGAGTAAACTAATGAGTGAGTGGGAGAGATAGATAGATGGGCTGAATGTGAGAGTAAATAAAATTGAATAAAAACCTAAGAAAGACATATAGGACGAGAGAAAAAAAAGGAATGGAATATTATATATATATATATATATATATACAGAGAGAGAGAGAGAGAGATATGCACGGTGGTGTAATGTATTGCTGGTTGGATTGAAAAATAGAAAAGCGGAGTACAAATTCCTGTCTATTTCTTTACAATCACTTACATGCAAATTTTAAAAGGTATTGATCCATCTCAAAGACATGGGAAATATGTGAATCCATGAATCCCTTGCTATGAATAAATAACACGACAGACTGGATCATTTAGCCTTGCTTGGTAACCAGCCTAGAAGGATAATTTGAATTCAAAACCAGGCCAGGATCGTTTGGAGACCATGTAGTACATTATGTTCAACTGTTCGATTTTCACTTCGAATAAATGACCTTTGTTCTACATAAACATTCACTATAGCAAACTCGTAAGTGCTTCTAGTTTGGCCGTCCGGTACAAACACCCAGACTATTGGGGCCTCCTACATGGAAAACAAGAGTCCACTATAGAGGCAGCATATTTTCATTCAAGCACGTTTAGTTAAATAACAACAAAGATCGGATGGAAGTGTTCTTGACACGCTTTTCAGATCTGTCGCATGGGCCGTCAGAGAAACTTACATTTCCACACACATACACTATTATTGGTCTGGGCCTTTTTACCCCACTTTGGTTAAGCTGGGTCCTGTTTGGGGTCATGGTGATGACGATGTTTGTATTTTCAACGCTAACTGCTTCTGTGTTTTTGAAGATTGTGATTATTCTGGTAGTCATAATAGATGTGATATTAATTATTATTGATAATTCTAATAATAGGTATTGATGTGTTAATGATAGATTCAGCCTTAATAATGGAATAATAATAATAACTATATATATACATATATATATATATATATATATATATATATATATATATATATATATATATATTACTGATACAACCTGGACGAGTGCAACGAACGATTGCAAAATGTTCCTTTCGAAACTCAGGAATCAGGGTGCTGAATATAACATCAGCTAATTAAGAATAAAAGATAATAATAATGATAAAAGTAAAAGCAGCTTAATTAATATATATATATATATATATATATATATATATATATATACTAATTAAGAATAAAAGATAATAATAATAAAATGTAAAGCAACTTATATATATGTACCGATATAGTGGGAAAATAAAATAACACGGAATGAGATAAATGGTGAGCAAGGAAAGGTCGAAAGAAGGGAAATCAACAAGAACAAAATACATGAGAAAAGGCAGGCTAGAACGAATATATCAAAGAAAAAGTTTGTGCAGTTGGGGAAAGAACAGAGTTTTGGTATAGAAATCATTCATAGGAAGATCGTTAGCGTATTGATTTGCTGGCTATTTCCCGCATTTGACCTTTCAATGCGGACTTGTTTCTTATGAATGATTGTTTCTTACGTGTGAGAAACTTGTGGATTTGGTGTTAGAATAATGCGCGCTATTTTGAAGCCTGACAACAGCGAACACACAAATAAAAGATCGACACCAACAAACAAAGGCCAAGAAACACGAACTGACGTCTTTTCTTGTTTGTTTTAAACAATGCAACTAGAATGGTCGATTGCATGTCATCGCCAACAAAGCAAATCAGTAAACAGAATTTTAAATTCCAAACTTGTTTCGGCCAGTAGTAGATAAATTGAGTAACTCTTGGTAGCAACAAAAAAAAGAAAAGAAAAGAAAAACAGATAGACATTTCTAGTTTTACATGGACAGAAAATAAATAACAGAAAAGATCCTGAAATACCAAACTTTGTATGGAGAATAAATCTGCCAGAATAAAAAAAAAATATCTAAACATTGGCAAGACAGATTCAAAATCTTAGAATTTGTAATTATTAGAAAGCATTGCACAGCCTAAAAGATTTTACCGTAGATGGCATTATAAATTAGGTAACCTAATTCACAGAAGAATTTACACACAACTTCGATCCTTCGACCATACTCGGTCAAGAGACGGAATGTGAAAATTATGAACTTTATTCAAAAAGCTCGTTTTTTATTAGATTTCATTTCTTTACATCTTCTATGTACAGTGTCACTTTCCTATGTTAGCGATCAAGTCTCTCCACAATTTTCTGAGCTTTGTAGTTTTTAATAAATTTTATTTTTATAGCTCCTAAATTTTGTTCCGCCATCCATTTACTCAAGCTAGCTAGGTAAGTTAAGCGTCGTTTTCCTCTGCTCCTCTTGCCTTCAATCAGTCCTGCCACTATCAATTTTGTTAAACTTTCTATCCTCATTATATTATATGCTCCAGAAACTTCAACTGAAACTAGACATTTCAACTAGCCAACTCAAGTCATTCATAAAGTCTAGGTGGCAACTTACCGTTATCCGAGACGCCATCTCATGACCGATAATATTGCTGATTCTTCTTTAGATTCAATCAAGGATCATGCCTGGTGCGAAATTGGCAGGTTGCAGATGACGCTGATGTCGTGTCGCCTACCTTCGAGCGTTTCTCGTCTCTCCTCGAAGTGCGTCACTCCGGCGTCGCAGAGAGACCGCCAAACGCTCTGATCCCTTGTGAGGTTCTCTAATTGTGATACTTGAGTATAATGCAAGTTTATATAAGTTTTTACGCAAAAAAATAGTAAATAGAGATAATTATTTTCATAAGAGGTAGGCCCAGGGTAAATTAGCTACCGTTGTTAGGCCTTAACGAAAACAAAATTATTCTATCTAAAAATTCGTATTAGATATTTTACGGTAAGTGTTTTTCTCACCAATGTCGTGTAGCTTTGTATGAAAAAAAAAAAAGAATGAGGACAATTAATTTGCTATAAATATGTCTAGGGTAATGCCCAGTACTGCAATATTTGACTAAATTAAGCTTACTAGTATTGCTTAAAAGCTGATTTAGCATGTTACACGAGTTGTATGAAAAAAAACTCAGGCTTTGCACACAAAAAGTACGCACTATACATGGAGTAGGCTTATTCGAGCATATATGGTATTCTCTTCAGGGAAATGAATCATTTAGGTCTTAAAGACAATGCTTCACTAGACCTTATAGACTGGTGATACATAACCAGAAAAATTCTTTACCAAATAAAAAAAAAAACATCTTAGCAGAAATCTTCAAACAGCAAAAACAAAAGAAGATACCATACAGAATTCAAAGAGAAAATAATGATATAACCAGAATGTTGACATTCCCACTGCATTAAATAAAAGGTTTAGAAGGGAACGCCCATCAATACTAGAAAGAGCGATAGCAGTTAGTGTACACGAGAATGTTAATTTCATGTAAAAACAATGTTTTATTAATTTCACACTGGCACTAAGGGTCAATGTAATATAGTAACATCTCTAAGTAGAAGCGTAGGAAGCTTTATGTTTCTAATTCAGCTTCAGCACTGACAAACTTTTTATTTTATTGCAATGGATGAAGATAGGGCGTATTTATTTTATTGCCTCAATAAACGTTCGGTCAAAGAGTATCAAATATTTCCTGCGTAGAAACCGTTCATTTTATCATTACCATTATACATTTGTTTATCAGCTTGTAAAATCCTTTTGTTCTTCAGTGGTAATCGATTAAAGCAAGTATAAAAGGTTGCATTTTCTAACCACGAATAATGCTTGTCCGAATAAGAAAAAAAAAAAAAACTTCATTAAAAAAATAGTGAAGTTTTCTACGAATATCTTTGCCCCTTTGGGAGACAGTGTTCCCTACGATGCATACATATCTAATTCTTAAGTTATACATACATAAAACATTTAAGGAAGATGACAAGTTTAAAAGGGATATGGAAAACAAATCTAAATTCCATTGAACTATTATTTGCAGTTCAATCACAAAGGCATATTCCAAATTATTCATAATCATATCTTATAGAGCTGAAATGAACGCTGCAGTAAGTAAGTAATTCATGTTTTGTTTCTTATATGAAAGCGGTTTTCTTTAAAATGGATGTAAACAGTTTTAGCACGTTATTAAGTAATCGTGCGCCTAAGAACAGGTGTTACTTAGTGGTAGCATTTAAAATCTTCATTTCACATCAAATGCAAATCAATCGCTATAGTGAAGGTTAAAGAAATTATCTTGATCCCTGGGTTAAAGCGTAACTGTCCACAATAAGGAGACATGCTGCAACGCAGTATTGAAGCAATTTCAAGTGCCACAGGTCAAAGTATTAACAAAATATCCACGAATATTCCCACCGTGAAAAAGGACAAGAAAGGGAACCTAAGTAATCACCTTGCGTGGCATGAAAGGTCCTCAGAAATCTCAAGCAAAATCAGTGTACCCATACCAAGGATACTTTGGCTTCAATGACCCTCTAACATTGCAATATCGCTTCTAATACTCTAGCGAACTTTTCGTTGTATTCATTTAAGGTGTTCAAAGAAAAGTCCAATATTCTAAATCTTTCACATGGAAAGTCGTCTAACTTTTGAGAATTTACATCTTTAGAAGAATTCATGTACTAGTCATATGAAAAAGAAAATGGGTTTTGGGAGCAAAATAATGTCACTTTTCTTTTGCGAAATTGGGGTGAAATTTTCTAAGCAAAGAATATTGTCTCAACAGTCTACCATTCTAGCAGTATGACACTGAACCGCTGAGTTGGTTAAACATTAATTCTAAGCAAAAAAAAAAAAAAAAGGTTAAGCTCGAAATACAATAACAAGCTGAAGATAGAGAGAAAATGGAAGTCATTTTCTTTGGTAATTTAGAAGTGAAAAAAATGTAATCTGTAATGTCTAACCCCTAAGAAGTAGAACGATGCATCCAAAAGTTTGGTTTTTTATCTATCGAAAATCTCGCATGCGGTTAAAGCAAATTAGGTAATAGCTTTATCACATTGTTGGGAAATCAGAAAAAAACATATCATTGTTGAGAGGAGAGGCAGATGAGAATTATGCTTTCGCTGGCGAATACGAACTGAGAAATGAAAACAGAGAATGAGTGCAAGGGTTAGCTTTATGAAAATTGATCCTGTTGTAAGAAGAAGGTGATCTAGTTTATGTTTTTGCTAAGACTGCCATCAACCCAAGGATGGAAAACAGCGTGTCTCATAGATGTGTTGAGAATTTAGGTAAACAAATCTATTTTAGTTGATGCAAACAAATTGGGAAATTATTTTATCTATCGTACGGAAGGTTAAAATAAGAAACAGGGGCTTGGTTTGTGTTCTCGCTGGACAGACATGACAGTATGGAAGTGGAATGGGGTCAGAGAATTGAAATTAATGAGGATAATAAACTACGCTCTTTCACTTAGGCATTTTAAAAATTAGATTAGTCACAGTTACGCCAGCCGGGAGAAGTAGAATGCCGATAAGGAAGAAGTAAGAGGAAGAAGTTAGCCCCGCCTGTATGGAGTGGTGATGCGAGATGTGAAGGTGGAATTTAAGAGAGGACTGATGCCTGTGACTACTATTAAAGGAAGGTAGATAATTCTTCAGATTTGGAAAGTTGATTAAGAAAGCAGAAACGGGTAACAAAGAAAACATTTATTGGGATTAATATGAATATTGAGGAATCACTGAATTCCCAGAAGACTGCTGTCCCATGCCAGTTTTATTCTGATGCGCACACAAGCAGATGACCTTGATGAGCTCAGGGACTTTGGACTGAAAACCCTCATCGAGTGCCTCTGAAATCTACGTCAGCTGCCACCAGATTTCTTGACTTTGAACGCAGTTTCTACAGAATTTTAGTTAAGGCTCAATATCACTATAGAAATTGATGCGGGAAGGGTTAATATTTGTTGCATCAAGAGCTATATAAACCAAGTGAAGATTAACCCCAATAATCTCTAGTTTTGTTCTTCGTTGTGAAATTATTTTTATTTCTTAATGTAGCACCCGGCACTGCTCGAACCAGCGCTGCGATTACGACGACATTCGGTCTTCCCCCGCTCTGACATCAAGTGCACAACGTGGGTGTGGATAAAAGCGGCCAGGGAACAACAACCAGCTTGGAACAGCATCAGTATTGACCAGTGCAGAGTTAGCACTGTGGTTAAAAAGTCGTCGTAAGACCCTGAGGACCGAAAAACTAAACGGCGATACACCACTGGGTATAGGCGTCGGCCAAAAGGCGTATTGTTAATTGGTGACAGTGACCAAGTATCGGACCCTGTTAGGACAGGAGGTGTTATAATGGTAGTATTATTCAGTGGTGATGATTTCAACAAATGGCACCGATGACCTAATTAAAGTGGATGGAATCACAAAGAAATTATAACATATACATATTCTTACGTGAAATATCAAGCAATCAAGATCTTAATCCAATACAAAATTTATAGGGAGAGCAGAAAACACGATTAACAGCAGGCGTTCCAGTCTTAAGGACATGGGCACATTAGCAGAAGTGGAGTTTTCTAAAATCAGTGATAGCTCAGAAAGGCTTTGTAATTTGTTATTTAGATATGGGCATGCATTTTTGGTGGCTTTTATGAATACCTTTTGCGAATATATTGCAAATAATAATTTTGTTAATTACATTGTTTCCAAATTCCTCATCTAGTTACTTTAATGTTTTGTCTCTTTATTTGGGACAGAAATAAGGAATATTATAATGGATACTTTTAACATTCACAAATATTTCAAGTGTAACACAGTCTAATATATATATATATATATATATATATATATATATATAAATATAATACGTCGATAGCACGACTCGGAGTTTCATGCAAATACGCATGGATGAAACTCCGAGTTGTGCCATTGA